CACCTCTACTTCTACAACTCTTCCTACTCTCTAATTCTCTATTCTCTCAATCTCTCATATTCAATCATCTTCATTCTTCATCTTCTCCAAATTCTTTCTACATATATATAATGTATATAATTATTATATCTACTTCTATAATAATTATCTACTTATAAATATATATTTATACACATTCATATTGTAATTCTTTACACATTATATATACTATATATAGTTATACACATTCATATTTACTTGATATTTAGTTATTATCCATACTATTGTTATTTACTTATATTTACATATTACATTTAGTTAATATATACTTATATATATATATATATATTAAATTATTAAGTATAAGTGTATTACTCATCTTATAGTAATATACTTATATATTATATACTATACACATTATATTATATATTACTTATAATATATTTACACATTATATATACTATATATACTTATACACATTCATATTTATTTATTAAAGTAGTTAATTGTTAGACTTGTCATTTATCTATTAAATTAGTTAATTGTTACATTTCTTTACATTTCTCTTCAAAGAAAAAAAATAGTTACTTGTTACATATCATTTATCATTTAACATTAGTTAAACTAGTTACTTATTTAATTGCTACATTCCTCATTAAAGTAAAAAAAGTAGTAAATTTTTACATTTGTCATATTAATATTAGTTAAAGTAGTTAATTGTTACATTTGTCATATTAATATTAGTTAATTGCTACATTGCTCATTAAAGTAAAAAAACTAGTTAATTTTTACATTTGTCATATTAATATTAGTTAAACTAGTTAATTGTTTCATTTCTCATATTAATAGTAGTTACTTGCTACATTTCTCATTTAAGTAAAAAAAGTAGTAAATTTTTACATTTGTCAACTAGATATTAGTTAAAGTAGTTAATTGTTACATTTCTCATTAAGGTAAACGAACTAGTAAATTTTTACATTTGTCATTTTAAAAACTAGTTAAAGTAGTTAATCGTTACATTTGTCATATTAATATTAGTTAATTGCTGCATTGCTCATTAAAGTAAAAAAAACTAGTTAATTTTTACATTTGTCATATTAATATTAGTTAGACTAGTTAATAGTTACATTTCTCATATTAATATTAGTTACTTGCTACATTTCTCATTAAAGTTAAAAAAAAAAACTAGTTAATTTTTGCATTTGTCATATTAATATTAGTTAAGCTCATATAAAATATTTGATATCATTTAATATTTGTTCAATTTTAAAGATGGAGTGTGGTAGACATTCTGTAGATGTGGATAATCTACAACGCAACCGCAAGAGGGAGATTGCGTCGACTCGTCCTACTTCACGCAAAGGCAAAGGTAAAGCGCGGGCCGAGTCTTCTTTTCAAAGTCGAGATGACTTTGAAACGGATTACCAACGGAGAGATGATATGATGATGTCCGACAAGCATCTACAAAACCTATTGTCCCAAAATGATCCACGCTTTGCACAAGAACAACACATCCCGACAACCATTGATGAAGAGGAGCTCGAGGATGATGATGTGGAGGATAACGCGGGGGGCGAGGGGACTCACGGCACCCCGGATGATGAGCAAGAGTTGGAGGACGAGGGCGGTTCAACCCAAACTGGTAAGAAATCTAAATCTCCTATTATTGAAAACAATTTTACAAAAAGGAAAGACAAAAATACCGAAAAATGGTACGCAAGTTGCAATCATTGCGTCAAAGAGTAAAGCTTGGGAACTTCTGGCGGATACGGGAGTCTGACAAGGCATCTTAAGTCCGCCCATCTTGTGGAGTATGCAAAAATAGACAAGGGCATGGGGAAGCAAACACAAATATCGAGGTTTGCAAATTCTCAACCCTTTGGTAATTTCTTCTATGATGATCAAAAACATTTGACTGGTATGTCTCATTTAATTGTTGAAGAAAATTTACCCTGTAGTTTTTTTCCGAAAGTCTTGCTTTAAGAGATTATGTTCAAGGTACTTTAAATCCTCAATTTAGAAATTATAGTCGCAAAACGATTAAAAAAGAAGTTATAAGGCAATATAACTTCGAAAAAGAAAATTTACAAACATTTTTCGCAAACTTTAATGGACGTGTTAGTATTTGTAGCGATATATGGGAGGATACTTATCATCATTTATATTATTTGGGTCTTACTGCACATTATATTGATGATGATTGGAATATGCATAAACGTGTTCTTGCTTTTCGTGAATTCAATGATCGTCATACTGCTGATAATATTTATATTCTCATTGAGCGTATTTTAATTGAGTATAATTTGCTTGATAAGGTGTTTGCTGTAGGTTTTGATAATGCTAGTAATAATACTGCTGCTATACCTAGATTGCGTGAATTGTGTGGTGCTTCTACATTGATGGGTAGGTTTTTTCATCAACGTTGTGCATGTCATATTCTAAATTTGTGTGTACAAGATGGATTAGCGGCATTAGGAAATGCTTTGGAGGTAGTGAAGGGGGGAATTAAATTGATTTGGGCTAACACTCCACTAAAAATGCAATGGCGGCAATATTTGAAGGAAAGACGTGTCAATTATTGTGCTTTTCCTAAAGATTTGTCTATTGGTTGGAATAGTACTTATAACTTAATTCAAGTACTTATTAGATATAAAGAACATTTTCCTGCTTTTTTAAGACAAACTTGTAACTATATTATAAACCCGGCTGACATCGACACTTGTGAAAAAATTGTTAATGTTTTGGTATATTTTAATAACGCAACTCAAACTTTTAGTCATGTTTATAAACCTACCGCAAACGAATTTTTTGTTGAAGCTGTTAATCTCGCCGGCGCTTTTTTAGAATTTTCTGATGCCGCTTACGTTAGTTATTTTTGTGATTTCATGAAACAAAAGTTTTTAAAATATTATTCACATGTTCCGCATATATATGTTATTGCATTTGTTCTTGATCCTCGTTATAAACTTGCCTCGTTGTCAAGTTGTATAGATTACTATTATGCTTGTTTTTTTCCAACTCAAAAGTTTGATGATAATCCCATTGACCCTAAACAAGAATACAATGAGGTTAGTAATTTATTTCATCAATTGTATAATGAATTTCATGAACAGTATGGTAATGCACCCCCTCCCATGCCGCGAACATCTTCTTCATCTAAAGGAAAATCACTTTTAAAATCTGCATTGGTTCTCTTATGAAAAAAAGTAGAGCAACTCCCGTTACTAAACAAAGCTCAGTTAACGAGCTTTCTTTGTATCTAACATTGAATGTTGATTATGAAGTTGGGGATGACTTTGACGTTCTTAAGTGGTGGAAGGAAAATGAAAGAACGTTCCCGGTTTTATCAAAGATGGCTAAGCAAGTGCTAGCAATGCCGATATCAACAGTTGCCGTGGAACAAGAATTTAGTGCGGCCGGCAACGTCCTAACCGATTATAGAACGAGGTTGAGCCCGAGCTCTCTTGAGACACTAGTTTGCTTCCACGATTGGTTGAAGGCCCAACGAAGAACTCAAGAAATGACCATCGCTCCCACCCGCCACTTTATGGAGGAAACAACCACCGAAGGCGGAGATTCCGATTGATTTTTTATTACAAAATGTATTACATTTTTTAAATGCATCCTAATTCTCAATTGTACTTCTTATTTGAAATAAATATACTTGAATATTGTTTTCTCAATTCTCAAATGTACTTCCTATTTCAAATAGGGGTGGACTCGGGCCGGGCGGCCCGACCCGGAACCGGCCCGGCCCGGGGCCCGATGGGTCCAGCGGTTCGGTTTGGCCCGGCCCGGGTGATGGGCGGTCCGGGCTCGGGCCCTGCTTTAGGCGAACCGGCCCAGCCGGTTCGGGCCCGGTCCGGGCCGGATTTTATTTTTTTTTTTGAAATTTTTTTAAGTTTTGGGTTGGATTAGGTATTTTGGACCATTTGAGGTGGTTTGGGGTTGAGGGGGAGGGGTAGGGGGTTAAATAGGAGAACCAAAAAAAAAGGACCGGTTTGGCCCAGCCCAGTTTGGCCCAGAACCGGCCACCGGCGGTTCGGGCTCGGCCCCCAGTTTTCTTGCCCGAGGCCCGGCCGGGCCCAGGCCCGAACTGGGCCCGAACCGGCCCGAGTCCAGCCATAATTTCAAATAAATGCACTTGAATTTTGTTTTTAATAAGAATTATTATAATAATATAATATATAATTTTAAAAAAAAATTATAAAGCCCGGCCCGGCGGGCGGCCCGGCCCGTGAACCGGGCGTGTGACCCGACCCAAACTGGACCCGGGTTTACCCGGGCCGGTTCCGGGCCTCCCAAACCTTGAACCGAGGCCCGGCCGGTTCAAGGCCCGAACCGGGCCCGGCCCGAACCGAGTCCATCCCTAATCTTCATCTTCTCTTATTATCCTACATTCCTACTTATACATATACCATTTTAAAGATGGAAAGTACATCTTCCCTTATGCAAAACAATTTTGATAAGTGGAAGAACCCGAAGACCGGACTGTGGTGGGCAACTTCCAAGTGGTGCAAGAAAGAGTGTTGCTTGGGGCGTTCACACTGATACAGGATGCCAATAAAACATATGAAGTCCTGTGACAAAGGAAAAATAACAACCAACGGTGGCGGAAATCCCAATTGATATTTATTAGAAAATGTATTTCGTATTGTTATTTTTTTCTCAATTCTCAAATGTAGTTCCTATTTCAAATAAATGCACTTGAACTTTGTTTTTAATAGCAATTTGTATAATATATAATTATTTAATATATATATATATATTTAATATATATATATAATGAACCGGCCCGGCCCGGCGGGTGGCCCGACCCGTGACCCGGCCAGGTGGCCTGGCCCGAACCGGAACCGGCCATAGCTCGGGCCGGTCCCGGGCCAACCTATACCAGACCCGAGGCCCGATCGGGCCTTGGCCCGGCCCGGGTCCATCACTAGGTACTCCTATTTTGGGAAAAGTTATGTCTTACTCTTACACTTATTAAGGGCAATTACGTCAAAAGAAATTATACTCATGTCTATATCAACAATTGCAGTGAAACGAAAGTTTGATATGATTAACAACATTCTTACCAATTACAGAAATTAACCAAACGCCCAATCATAAAAATTACATTTATTTCCACGATTGGTTAAAAGCAAGGCGAAATTAATAGTTTTGGCCAATGATTTCTCTATCACTCTAAACACCCTACACAGACAACTCTTATTTAAGTGCAATTCCATGTACATGTATTATTTATACATTCACAACCTAAGTAGAGCAATTCCCAAGTGCAACGCCTCTAAGAATATTTCATTTAGCATTAATTAAATTCCATAGTAGCGCTCACAAGCTACATAATTATGTATATATGGTACTATGGTAGTAGTTTAGAAGTGGGGGTGTGTTGTAGAAGGTTCAGGACTTTCTTGTTTCTCGATTTGCACAGACCTTGACGGTGGACCAACCATGCTCAGCACCACCTGCATCAACAGAAACCCCCAAAACCACTGTCACTGGTCTTCAAATCACATCGGATCCGGCTTTGGTGATGAGTCATCACAGCCGCCAAACGCCATTGAGAGTTACAGCACCGAAAACACCAGAGTAACCAAGTTCAATGGATGCTAGTACATGAATAAGTGTATTTGGTGCCAACCGGATGTCACATTGTAACATCAGTGTTTTTTTAATATTTATGAAATTATTAATATAATTATTAGAAACCATGTCAACCAAGCCTCCCGATTGTTGGGCAAAAAAAAGATGGTGGGTAATTAGCATCCATACTAACAGAACTGAAGGTTAAAGCTTTGGCACCGTACTGTAATTAGCGACATGTGAGGGTGCGTTTGTGGGGGCATATCAAGAATTAAGAGATCAATGACTGTTAAAAAAATTATAAGGTGTCTTACGGGTAGAAAGACGAGGCCATGAAGGAAACCAAGAAAAACCAAGGCCAGGTACATTTGGAAATAGTAAACCTGCACATTTTTGAAGGGGGCTCAATTTAGGAGTACCATTTTAGAACTACAGAGCATACGAAAAAAGGCTTTACTGGAATGGTGGAGAAATGAAATAAGAAAAAAACTCAGAGAGGTACCACAAAAATTTCTGAGCGTGAAAAACACAAAACAATCACTCCAACAAGCTTCGTAAGAGTGATACCACTGCAAAAGCATTCGGCATCAATAAAGAATTAATGAGAGGATATAGATCATTTTCAATAGGGGGTGGGGGTAATAACACTTATAAGCTATCGTATGGCATGCAAAAGGAAATCTGCAATGGATAAGGGAGAAACGGCCATACCTAAATACAGAGGCTCCCATAGAGGTCAATGCATCCGTCATGCGTTGATTCCTATCTCCACTGCTTACCTAACATTCACCAAATTACCAGAAATCAAAACAAATTTAAAACTTTCACTGATAAATTTGATGTCCCTAACAAATTAGTGACGAACTAAGAAAATTAAAAAAAGATGGGACATTTTAAAAATCTTTTTTGCATTGGATCAAAGAAAATATGCAATGTTAAGATACAAAAAAATAGTGTAATGAACGGACCAGAAAAGCATGTGTAATATGCACACAGAACTCAACAGCAATACCCACTGACATTACAAGGTTGACAACCGATACAGCATTTAATTGGATATTTAGGATTGCCATTATGCCCTGCAAAATATACACATGTGTCAAAACAAAAAATAAGACAACGAGGTGCATGACAATAGAAATTCTAAAGAAGACCATGTACCATCATATCTACTACGATCATCACCAACACAAGTAAGATAATTGCTGAAGTCCAAAAACTGTATTTACAAATCAATGTTACAACCCTAAAGAAAACGCAAAACAAAGCATTGCAACTACAAAAAACAGATATTACTAAACTCACCTGCATGTGATGGCAAAACATGCTAAGAATACAGCACCTGCCAAAAATGTGCAGAAAAAAAGTCAGAAAATACTAGTTTTCACCATATATTAATGATTTGAGTAATGCCTTGAATCTTTTACTTGTCCCCCATCAATTTCACATTTCAAAATGTGCTCTATAGTAGGTTGACTAGGTTCAAAATAGATGGACTCCAGCATCCCAGAATATCGGAAGGGTGTAATTTTATAAGACTACTAACCAACAGCTATGGAAAGATCGATTAATGCTGTCCTCCATATATCAAGGTATTGTTCGAAAAATATATAAAATACAGCATATGGGAAGACCTCCACCTGCAAACAAGAACAAACACAACCTTATAGGGTCCAATGTTTTCAGGTAGATATGTATTATCAAGTTAATAATTTATGGTTGGGCAAATTACAGAAAAGGTATCAGAATCACCTCGATTTCTTCAAGCTAAAAGGTTGGAATACCCAAAAGTAAATTATTAAGAAATTAAAAAAAAATCATGCATGGAAAAATTATTTCAAGTTACTAGCTGATAGGGAAACAGCTGTACTTAATAAAGAAGATAAATACTATGGCCGAGTATATTGTAGAAGGAATAAATAGACTAATTAGTTGATAGTTAAATTCTGTTGTTAGCTATTAACTACTTACGGTTAAGCTAGATGCTTATAAATAGAATAAGTCTGGGAGAGGTCAGTAGGCTGTTTGGACTATTGTCTTGGACTGGGAAGTTAGAGTTCTATCTCTTTCTTTTGGGGGCTTTGGCCATTTGGGGGCTTCGGCCATCGTTATTGTTCATATTCAATAAAGCTGGTAGTTGTGTTCTTGATAATTTCTGTGAATTGTTTGTATAATTGGATTGTTCTATCAGTGGTATCAGAGTGTCGTCGATCTTTGTGGATGGTCTTGACAAGAACGAAGATGGATATATGGTTGAACGAGCTGGAGGAGAAAGTGGACAGAAATCAGCAACAAACCACGGAGATGTTGGCAGCGATGCAGGCGACTCTTCTCGCCAGATTGGATGCTCGAGCTCAAGATCGATCGCGAAGTAGATCGCAGGCTTCATCTGCATCGCATCGCACTTCGCACAATCACCATTCGCGTCATTCGCGAAAGTCAGTTAGTTCTGGGAATTCGGAAGAAAACTCTGACTATTCACCTCCGCATTGCAATCATCACCATCATCGGAAGCGCAATCATCAACATTCGTGAAAGTCAGCGAGTCAAGATGAATCGGAAGAGAATTTTGACTATTCACCTACGCGTCGCAATCATCATCACCGGGAGCGAAATCATCATCAGCGTACAGGCAGAAAAGTGGATCTGCCTCTATTCAATGGCGAAGACGCCTATGGTTGGTTAGTAAGGATTGACCGCTACTTCCGGTTAAACCACATAGAGGAAGAAGATAAGATAGAAGTGGTTGTGGTTGCAATGGAAGATAAGGCGCTCAGTTGGTTTCAATGGTGGGAGAAACAAGCACGAGAGAGAACCTGCGAGTAGCTGAAGAAAGCCCTGACTTGTCGTTTTCAACCGGAGCTGGTTCAACTAAGTTTGAAACAGAAAAGTACTGTAAAGGAGTACAGGGAGCAATTTGAAGTGGCCATTGCCTCTTAAGATGAGGGGTATCTTTTTGAATGGGCTGAAGAAAGACATCAAAGCTGAAGTAAAACTGTATAAGACCAATGACCTGGCTGAGATTATGGTTCACTGCATTGTTGATTGAGAATAAAAACAATGAAATTCTGACCAAGAGAAATAAGGAAGAGGGGAAGAAAAATTGGAAGAGTAATCTGTCAGGGGGACATAGTTATAACAAATGGGGAGATGGCTATAAAGGAAATTTTAACCAAACATCTAAGAATCAGTCTGAGAAGAATTCAGTTGATGGCAAGGTGGAGGAATCAGCCAACTCTGTTCAAAAGAAGATAAGTCCCAGATTAACACAAAATGAATTGCAGGAGATGAGTAGGAAGGGGTTATGTTTCAAATGTGGGGAGACTTGGAACTGAGGTCATATTTGCAAAATGAAACACTACAAATTTGTTCTTATGGAGGATTCTGAAGCAGCGGCAAAATGGTTCTTGGCATTCGGTTCCCCGTCATAGCTTCTTCACCATTGGAGGCAGAGCTTAAAGCGATTTTAGGTGTAACGAAATGGGCGCTGCAATTGGGATTTGAAAAGTTTCTGGTGGAAGCTGATTCTTGGGAGGCCATTCTCTTTATGTTGGGCAAGGAAAATCGCAGGTGGAAGATGGAGATTCAGGAAACTTTGCTGGCATCGAACAGGAAAGGGGTCGGTTTCAGGCATACCTTACGTGAAGGAAATTGGGTAGCTCATCATCTAGCTAAGGATGGGTCGGCCCAATTTGAATTATTTAGCAGGCCAAGTGAATTGCCTAGATCTGTCAGGAAGGCCTACATCATGGATTTTTATGGATTACCTTCATTTAGATTTTATAATCTGTTCTTTTAAATTGGGTTTGGTTTGGTCCCCCCAATTTCTTTCTGAATTTGTTTTATACTGTATGCTTTCGGAGGGAGTTTGGTCTAGTCCCCCCCCTCTACCTGTACTAATTTATCCTTAATAAAAACTGGTAAATGTCCCCCGGCATTTACCCCACTGACTTTGGTGGTTGACCTTCCGGGGTAAAAAAAAAGGAGGATTCTGAAGGAGAAGAAGAGTCTGAACCTGTCAGGAAGGATACAAAGTAGGAAGAGGGAATTGAAATGGAATTCAAAACTATGCAATTGTACTCAAGGAGTAAGGAAGGGATTTCAAGCATGAAAACCTTCAAGATGAAAGGAGTATTGAAGTGGGAATCTGGAGAATAGAAGGTTGAAGTCCTTATTGATAATGGTGCAACCCATAACTTCATTTCTCAAGAGTTAGTGAGAAAATGGGAGTTACCATACCATACGATAAAAGGATGTTCTGTACAGATAGGTAATGGAAATCAAATAAGAAACAATGGCAGATGTGAAGGGTTGAAATTGAAACTACAGGGGCTGAAAATACATCAACCTTTCTACATTCTAGAATGGGGGGGAACAGATATGGTGTTGGGCATGGAATGGCTGACAAGCTTGGGAGATACGGAGATTAACTTCCAAAATCAGACCATCAAATGGGAGGTACATGGGCAGAAGGTAATTATACAAGGAGATCATTAAGTCAACTGGGAACTAATACGGAGATGAAGAACCTGGTAAATAAGAATGGAGAAGGAAATTTCCTGAACTATCATGGGTTATCTACTGATATTGAAGAAGAAAGAGTAGGGAGCATTGTGAGAACCGATTGTGAGAAAATGTCCTGGCATCTGTGTAATTCTGCTGTGAAATACATATGGAAGAAGATGGAAGTAGCAAAGCTAAAGGTCCAGCAATCAATCAAGTATTGGAAAGGGAGAGGTGCTAGGATGAAGAGAAAGAAGATTTTGGCTGTTTCATACCATCCACCTTGAGGGCAAGGTGGATGTTTAAGGGGGGAATATTGATAGGGATACAGTTGTACTTAATAAAGAAGATAAATACTCTGGCCGAGTATATTGTATAAGGAATAAATAGACTAATTAGTTCATAGTTAAATTCAGTTGTTAGCTATTAACTACTTACGGTTAAGCTAGATGGTTATAAATAGAATAAGTCTGGGAGAGGTCAGTAGACTGTTTTTTGACTATTGTCTTGGACTGGGAAGTTAGAGTTCTATCTCTTTCTTTTGCGGGTTTCGGCCATTTGGGGGCTTCGGCCATTGTTACTGTTCATATTCAATAAAGCTGGTAGTTGTGTTCTTGATAATTTCTGTGAATTGTTTGTATAATCGGATGGTTCTATCACTAGCAAACTCAAATACTATGAATACTGATCTCCAAATGCATATAGTACTAATGGAATTTAGAATAAGAAGGATTGAGACTGAATAACTTGGTTTATTCCATGAAATGAGTTGCTATTTATACAATATTCTAGGGATTAATAAGGCAGGCTACTAATTATAATATTAAATACAAATATTTGTAACTGACAACTCTAATCAATTGTGTAACGGTTGTCTAGACTTTTCTTTGTCTAGATTCTTCTATATGCCCCCGCAAGCCAGGTATTCTATCAGTGCTAAGAATCCTGAGCTTGTCACGTAGAAACACAAACCGCTGCCGTGAAAGTGGCTTGGTGAGAATGTCAGCTAGTTGATCATGAGAGGGAATATGAAGAACTCGAAGAAGGCCACGTTGCACACGTTGACGGACAAAATGGAAATCGATAGCAACATGTTTCAGAAAACTCACATTTAAAGAATCAGACATTCTAGAAGCAAAACTCCGTGCAGCCCTCATTGAATTAACATAGTCAATCTAAAAAAATAGATAAATAAGATTTAATCAAGGGACTTGAAATAAAATCAAATGAAAAAAATAAATCCTGCATGGCATACTTGCTTGTTGAGAGGGGTGTGAAATGTACGAAATGCTGATGCTTGAATAACACCAGATTCGTAGCCTGACAAAAGCACGGAAGTCAGGCTAGAAGAATCAGAATAGAGAGAGACTAAATGAAAAATTGATAAGTCGAGGATATTACTCAGTAGCACAACCTTTAAGCTCAACATTGTTAGTGTAAGCCCCATTACCACCTTTTGCACAATCATTAGAAGGTAATGCACTCAAGAACCACGGGAGTTTCTCTTTGAATTGTTCAGTTGTTGGGCGGCCATTGTCTAAATCTGATTGAAGAAAGCACTGAACATTCCATGCATTAGTAAAAATCTAGCACAGCATGGTAAATATAGGAATATAGATCGTATTTGATAACTAGTCACTCCAACTCTAAAAATATAGATAGAGAAACAAAGAAACATGACGGTCGAGGAAATCTTGTATACCAAAATCCGAAAGGAATGCTTCTTTTCAAATTGAAAGTTGCAGATTGCCAGATTATTAAATTATGCATCCAGATGAGTATCATTTTCATTTACCCCAGTGCGCAAAGGCTCCCACCTACGGTGGGGTAAGGGGGGGGGTCGGATGTACGCAGTCTTACCCCTGTACTAAAGCACATAGAGACTGTTTCCGGATGACCCATAGTAAAAATCACGTCCAAAATTGCATGGACTGATTGCTGCTTCATAACAAAGAAGCGCAGACAGTTTAGTAAGCCATTTTGCTTTATTCCATCACATTCTCAAGCCAAAAAAATAATAAATCTTTGGCTCCATTGTAAATGATGGAAAGATGCATGCAGATGAGTACAAAAAAGAAAACTAGGCAGATAAAATACGAGTTTGTATGAACTACCGTTGTGCAGTCCTTGCATATGCCCACCCAAGTAGATAATCCACTGCTGAATGAACAAGGAGGCTGAAAGAAAATTGTGAATTAGAGTAACATACAAAATTACTGAATAGCACTTTCTAGTCTTTGAAGAGAGAAAACAGACGCGAAATTTAGATTTGTTCAACCAATGTATACTTGAAATATTGTTAATGCTTCTGCATCTCGTCATATGTACCCTTAGAATGAGAAAGTAACTGCACCTGATCATCAGCTGGGCAAAAACTCCCATTATTAAATTTACGACAGCAGCCAAAAGCTTCTGGGGATATCCAAACCAAAAAATCATCAAGCCAAGATGCAGCTGGTTTAGCTATGTAACTTGATTCGGGAGTTAAAGATGCTCTTGAAATCTGCAGCAATGGGTATTTTAGCAAATGCACTAATTGACAAACTGTGAATTAATTTACCCCAGATAAAGGCATCATATAACAGAATCACTTCTATTTCCATCACTTGCAATGGAGCCAAATATTCATTATTTTTTGGCTTGAGAATATGATGGAATAAAGCAAAACGGCTCACTAAACTGTCTGCACTTCTTTGTTATGAAGCAGCAGTCAGTCCATGCAATTTTGGACGCGATTTTCACTATGGGTCATCCAGAAACAGTCTCTATGTGCTTTAGTATAGGGGTAAGACTGCGTACATCCGACCCCCCCTTACCCCACCGTAGGTGGGAGCCTTTGTGGCACTAGAGTAAATGAAAATGATGAAATGATAACATAATCACTTCTAATGCTAATTTAAGTCCTAATGGACATCTTTGGTGTTTGGGTATCAGAGTAAGATCAACCCTTGAAGTCAACAACCTGCATGCAACACAAATCCTTTCCCTAAATCTCATCCTTTCCCACTTGGGAAAGCAATGGTACCATGAAGACTACTTGTAAATTGGAAGAAATATAAAAAGGTTTTTCTATTCTGATTTTGTTGTTTCATTCCTTCCATATGAGAAGAAGAATAAATATATATACAGCTAGAGATTCAACCTAAGTAGGAATATAGGAAAGGAATCCTACTATCTCCTAAGAATAAGGGATATTTAAAGATTTTAAGATTTCTAAGATATCGCCTACTAAATATATTACAGGTGAATCAAAGATATGCAATAAGTGTTGAGATTTGATATGATTCTAAGTGAATTCCTTCCTGATTTTAGTATTTATTGTACAAATTGTATCAAATCAGCTATGTTTAAAGGACCGGACCGGGTAGTTCGACCTGGAACCCGGCCACCCGGCTCATTATCCGGTCCGGTTAACCTCTAAACCGCTAATATAGCTAAACCCGGAAATAACCGGTGACCCGTGTAAACCCGGAAAAGAACCGGCCCAGTCCAGACCCGCGAATCAGCAAAAAACCGGCTGCAAATGTTGCCTGCGGGAATCGAACTCGCGCCTGCGGCCTCTCATTCGCCCTCTCGCTGCACTACACTACTTTGTTGTGACAATACATTGCTTTGTCCTTTTTATACCTTCTAAGACCGGCAACTTTTTTACTTAATATTAATTAACTAATTAATTATTTAATTAATAGAACAATCATAATGCATACAAGCTTATTCTATTAATCTACTTCCCAATTACGTATATCATCTTCCAAATATATTCGTTTAATATTTTTTATTTTTTTGTAATTGAGGTTATGTCCATTTTTGTTATTCATATAATTTGAATTGTATTTTAGCCTTTGTTAAAACCAATACAATAGTTTTTAATTTTTCTGATACTGTATTATCAATATTAAACTATGACGTAATATAATGTTTTTTATTTATGAATTTAATGTTTTATATAATTATATATATGTATATATTAGGGGAGGGTTCTAGTGAGAGCCCCCTTAAAATGAGAACTTCTAATCTACACCATTGATTTATGAAATCAAGGGTTAGCATTAACAAGGTGGCGATTTTGTAATAATTCTACAATAATTAAAAACAAGACCTCATTTGAATTTTCATTAATTACACAAAGTACTCCATGTGTATCCTACGAATGATTGAATTTAATAAAAGGTTGGGATTAAAAGTTCTCATTATAACAAGTTCTCATTTTAAGGCGAGTTCTCACTAGAACCCTCCCCTATATATATATATATATAGAGTAATCTTCCGGTCAGGTATACCTGACCGGAGCCGCCGTCCGGCCTCCTCCTTTTGGGGGCCTTCCCGGTGGTATTTTTTGCTCAAATTTTTTGTGTATGTTCCTCATCAAGTCTAGTTTATCCATACCAAATTTCAGCCAAAAATTCAACCGGGAAGATCGTCAAATGATTTTTGCAAGTTAACTGGTCCGGAAAATACATATTCCGGACCAGTTAAATTGCAAAAATCATTTGACGACCTTCCCGATTGAATTTTTGGCTGAAATTTGGTATGGATGAACTAGACTTAATGAGGAACCTACACAAAAAATTTGAGCAAAAAATATCATCGGGAAGACCCCCAAATGGAGGAGGCCGGACGGGGGCAGTGGTCAGGTATACCTGACCTGAATATTCTCTCTCTCTCTCTCTCTCTCTCTATATATATATATATATATATATATATATATAGATATATATATATAGAGAGAGAGAGAGAGCTGTTCGAGTCAGGCGGCCTGACCGGACAGGCCCGTGCGGCCTTCCCCGTTTGGGGGTCTTCCCGGTGGAATTTTTTGATGAAATTTTTTGTGCATGTTCCTCATCAAGTCTAGTTTATTCATACCAAATTTCAGCTCAAAATTCGATCGGGAAGGCAGTCAAATAAATTCTTGAAACATACTGGTCATTCTGCAGATATATTTAGGGGAGGGTTCAGGTGAGAATGATCTCCCAGGAGAGAAAAAAAGAATGAAATCTAACCATTCACATATGCAATCGTGCGGCTGAGATAACATTACCCGCTTTCAAAAATGGCATGTGATATGCACATGCTAGGATATCAATTGAAAAATCGGCAGTATAATAATGAGAGGAGGGCATTTATGTAAAAGATATAAAATTGATTCGCACGTATAAGTGTTCACATGGAAAGTTGTTCTACAAATTAGGCTATTAATTAATGCCAAGTGGCTCCCTTATATTTAAAACCGTTTATTATAATAAATATTTGACTCTCATTCCACTTAAGATATTGTCTCACATATAATTCGGTTAATTAATTAAAAAAAATTAATGCACTTGAGCATGAATTGTTTTTATATAATCCTTTTTTAGATGCAATATCTCGTAATTTGTCCATCTGCACTCCATCATTGAATGACTGCACTTTTATTAGAACGTTTATGCACAGCCAATACGTTTGGGCTCTATTAAGTATTTATTTACTCATCTTTTAATATCATATGTTTTTCCATTAAATCTCCGACCAATAACCAATTTGTATCAATAATGAATATTTAATTTACCCTAATAGTAACTTAAATAGTAAACACAATTGATTACAATGAAACTAAAGAGTAGTAATATTTTTATTCTATTAACCTTTACACTTTCATGATCAATCTGCACTTTAGTTTTTGTAGTTATGCACTTCTATATATTTCTAAAAAAAATGAAAATAAGCATACATGGGTGTAAAGAAATCGCTATTATATGCATTTCAAATATAAACAAATGTGCACTATTATAACATACTTTGTAAAACATATTTTTATTATGTGTGTTTTAAATGTATGCAGAAGTGCACTATTACATCACACAATTGAAGCGATTGACATTTTTATATATTAATGCACTTTTTCTTTCAAAAGCGTGACAAGTATCTGATTATGACATCTTTTAGTGTTACATGTATCTGCACAAGAAGTAAATTAAAATAATGAAAAGTGCACGAATAAGATGTGATAAGTGCATCAAAGTAATCTAAATTATATTGTGCACTTACATATCAATTGTTGTGCACTTTTCAATAACATGAAATGAATTCTTATAAACATGACTGCATCTCTGTTATATATAAAAAGGTCTTAAAAACATGTAAATAAAAATAAATAGAATGGGGAAAAAAACTAAATAGATATATGTAAAAAAAGCAAATAATCATGAAGAATAAAACACACTATATTGTATGTAAATCATAAACTGATGAAAATAATCAAGAAAAGAGTAAACAAAATTCTGAATCAACGGAAGATAAGATAAAAGAAATCATTTTGACCGGGTCAAACAAATGAAGAATACTTTATAAGAATATATCAGGTAAAATAATAGTTATGGAAACATTCATTAGTTATCTTAAATATGATGGGGAAGTCAAATATATGCCACAACAATTCCTAGAAGGAAAGTGGCCAAAGTGACTTTTGTGGCCTTATACGAACTATTTTAATAATGTGAATGCTTGTTCAATCTAAGGGCTCTCATTCATTCTTTTTTCCTCTCCTAAGATGGTTTTCTCACTTGAACCTAAATATATATATATATATATATATATATATATATACACACACAAATGTTCAGGTCAGGAGTTTCTGACCGGAACCGCCGTCCGGACCGCGGCGTTTGGCCGCCTTTTGGGTGGAATTTTTTGATAAAATTTTTATCACATGTTCTCCATCAAGTCTAGTTTATCCACAAAAAAATTCAGCCAAAAACTCAATCGGGAAGATTGTCAAATAATTTTTGCAAGTTAACTGGTCCAGAATATGTATTTTCCGGACCAGTTAACTTGCAAAAATCATTTGACGACCTTCCCGATTGAGTTTTTGGCTGAATTTTTTTGTGGATAAACTAGACTTGATGGAGAACATGTCATAAAAATTTCATCAAAAAAAGCCACCGGGAAGGCGGCCAAACGCCGCGGTCCGGACGGCGGTTCCGGTCAGGAACTCCTGACCGGATCATTACTCTATATATATATATATATATATATATATATATATATATATATATATATATATATAGAGGAATGATCCTGTCCAGCAGCCCCCGGCCCGAACAGTGTCCGAACATGGCCATTTGGGGCACTTCCCGGTGGAATTTTTTGATGAATTTTTTTGAGCATGTTCCTCATCAAGTCTAGTTTGTCCATACCAAATTTCAGCTCAAAATTCGTTCGGAAAGGCATTCAAATCATTTTTTGAAGTTGACTGCGTTTTTATATGTTTATTTTGACGCAGTCAACTTCAAAAAATGATTTGAATGCCTTCCCGAACGAATTTTGAGCTGAAATTTGGTATGGACAAACTAGACTTGATGAGGAACATGCTCAAAAAATTTCATCAAAAAATTCCACCGGGAAGTGCCCCAAATGGCCATGTTCGGACACTGTTCGGACCGGGGGCTGCTGGACAGGATCATTTCTCTCTCTCTCTCTATATATATATATATATACAGAAAAGATCTTGTCCAGCCCCTCCTGTCC